TTCAAAGAAGAAATAACACCTATTCTCCTGAAGCTGTTTCGAAAAATTGAAGCAGAAGGAAAACTTCCAGACTCTTTCTATGAAGCCAGCATTACCCTGATCCCCAAACCAGGCAAAGACCCTACCAAAAAGGAGAATTTCAGACCAATATCACTGATGAATATGGATGCTAAGATTCTCAACAAGATCCTAGCAAACAGGATCCAACAGCACATTAAAAAGATTATCCACATAACCAGGTGGGATTCATCCCTGGGCTACAAGGATGGTTCAACATTCGCAAATCAATCAATGTGATAGAACAAATTAATAAGGGAAGAGAGAAGAATCACATGGTCCTCTCAATTGATGCAGAAAAAGCATTTGACAAACTCCAGCATCCGTTCCTGATTAAAACCCTTCAAAGTATAGGCATAGAGGGAACATTCCTGAACTTCATAAAATCTATCTATGAAAGACCCACAGCAAATATTATCCTCAATGGGAAAACGCTTTCAGCCTTCCCGTTGAGATCAGGAACACGACAAGGATGCCCACTCTCACCACTCTTGTTCAACATAGTATTAGAAGTCCTAGCAACAGCAATCAGACAACAAAGAGAAATAAAAGGTATCCAAATTGGCAATGAAGAAGTCAAACTCTCTGTCTTCTCAGATGACATGATTATTTATATGGAAAACCCAAAAGACTCCACCCCCAAACTACTAGAATTCATACAGCAATTCAGCAACGTGGCAGGATACAAAGTCAATGTACAGATATCAGTGGCTTTCTTACACACTAACAATGAAAATACAGAAAGGAAAATTAGAGAATCGATTCCATTTACTATAGCACCAAGAACCATAAGATACCTGGGAATAAACCTAACCAAAGAGGTAAAGGAACTGTACTCGAGGAACTACAGAGCACTCATGAAAGAAATTGAAGAAGACACAAAAAGATGGAAGACCATTCCATGCTCTTGGATCAGAAGAATAAACATTGTTATCCCCTCTTTCTAATTCCCTTCCCAGCTGCCCTGTAATCTAGCTTTGCATAAGTAATTGCTATTCCTCAAATATGCCATGTTCGAAGGCTTCTGCCAGTCCTTCTATCTTACTAATAAAGACTATTTATTTTTAACGTCCCCATCAGTATCATTTTACGTGCTAGTGTTCTTAGCCCAAGACAAATCACTGCCTTATATATGTTCTCTAGTACTTTTAGAGCCACTATTCTATTACCTACCCGTTTTTGTACAATCATTTGTGTATATGTCTGTCTTCCCAGCTAGATTCTTAAATTCCTCAAGGAAGTTAGTAAACCCATTCTATATTTTGTTTAGTTTCAAATCTCCTATAGAGCCTAGCTCAGTACCTGCCATACAATAAGTGCTCAAGAAGTGTCTGTTGAACTATATTAAATAAGATTCTAGACATGTTTGTGCAACAGATCATTTCTGTAGCCTGACTTTTTCAAATCTACATTGTATATTCTTCAAACTAGCGTTTTGAATGATTTGACTACAGAGCATAATTCTCCCCAAGAGGTGGGTGTTTTGATCAGTCTTGCCCATTTTTTTTTTCTTGCAATGTCATTGGAGTGAGTTGAACATGCAGCTGAATTCCACACACAAAGCAGTCCCTCAGTTCTTATCAATCTCCCACAGCCTGTGAAGCCCTCAGTGTACCTCTGTCTTTTGCCACAGACATGAAGCTCTCATTCCCTCTCGTAGCCATTGGACTGGAGGTTTCCATGATTGTTTTATTTGGATTCTTTGTCAAGTATGATACAGAGCAGAATGCTGTCCAGCAGCAGTACAGCACCAACGCAACAAAAGCAGACAAATTCCTTGAGTTGCATCCTCGTGAGTAAACAATCTACTTCTTATTATCCATTTTGGGCTTTTCAGAATGTGAACGCATTTGGGCGACTTAAAATGTGAAATCTTTGAATTCTATAACCCCTTGAGCTCCACACAGAATCTGTGATACTTTGGATACTAAGGGGATTATAATTTCGTGCTGAAGTATCTCGTTTCTATGGCATTGGTCTCTGTTGTTAATGTGTTTGGATAGAATCTGTGTCTATTAAAATATCAGCATAAGAAGCCAAAAATTAAAATAATTGATTAATCTTTTGTGTTACCTACATCTGCTAAATGACATTAATTTTCCCTGAAATCGATCCCTAGTTCTGCAAGGTATAAACATATCATCCCCCAAACAACAACAACAACAAGCGTCTAAGGTAACTTTCAAGGAGAGAGCAGAAACAAAGTGGGATATGGAGAAGGGAGACTGGATTTCATGTGGGGGCCCTAAGGTATAAGAAGTGGTATTAAGGATGACATTAGAAGTAAATAGATATACTCTGGGTTTTATAACCTTCTAAAAGGAAAGCAATTTGTTCCTCTGCAATGGGAAGAAAAACATGGGCACCTAATGTATTTTAAAAGTAGAATCCTTCCCTGGAAATAATAACTGAAGAAAAGAAAGGGTTTAGTTTCAAGTTTGATAAGGAAGACAATGAACTAGTTAATAAAGCAATAATAATTACCATTAACTGACTGCCTATTTGGAGTCAGGCATATTCATTACATCATTAACCAGGGAGGGAGGTGATAATATATCCCTATTATATATATATTTACATGTATACATATATATATATATATATTTATACATACACACACACACTAATAAGGCACACATAATTTTATTATTCATTAATTTATTAACTATTAAATTTATTCAATCATTGAAAATAGTAACGATGTTTATGACAGTTCTGTCTGGTAGGTCTAAGCTTTTCAAAAAAATCCATATGACATTTGTTTCTCATTCCTCCATTTTTTGAGGGGGGTTATATAATGGGGAATATTCTCATGCAGACATAATGACCCTAGAGCCATTAAATGACTCAGCCCATATTATCCCTGGCTAAAATATTTTGTAGAATAGCCCAGAAGCTACACCATTGTGGTTATACATATATATTTTTTCCTACATTTTCCCCTATATTTCAAATCAACTCACACAAAACTTACATGACAGCCTACATCATCAGAGAGATTAAATACTTGCTTGTTAAGAAGAAATGTTCAAGTCAAACACATGTGGGTGCCCGCCTAGTGCCATAAGTTGTGCCAAGTGCAGGCATCCAGCACAGGAAGGCTCTGCTCCTGCTTGAGAAGCTCACGGTGTATTACAGCAGTTTTCGTTTTTGTTTTAAGATTTTATTTATTTATGAGATAGAACCTGAGAGAGAGAGAGGGCCCAAGCAGAGGGAGCAGCAAGCAGAGGGAGAAGCAAACTCCCTACTGAGCAGGGAGCCCCGATGGGGGCTCGATCCTAGGACTCCGGGATCATGACCCAAGCTGAAGGCAGCTGCTGAACCAACTAAGACACCCAGGCGCCCCCTATTACAGCAGTTTTAATTGCAGGGTGGTGGAAGTTATGAATTTTTCACAAATAAGCAAGGCAGAATATTAATTTATATTTAAGTAAAGTCAGTCAGATATAGGTTTATTCATCCCTCTTGCTTGCATTCTGCTATGCTTTTCTGAATAGCAAAACAGTGCCTGGGGTCACACAGACCATCCCCAGGCATAACCGTGAAAGTGTGTGGCATGCCTGAATATCACGTTTCATGCCACGAATGACTCCACAGATACTCATTTGAGAAACAAGCTATACTCTGTGGGTGTTGGGGCTTCATGGCACCTAGCAAAGTATTGGTCACTCTGCTGAGGCAGACAGGTTTTTTGTTTTTTGGGTTTTTTTTTTTTTTAAGATTTCATTTATTTTTAAGAGAAAGAGAGAGAGCGCAAGTAGGTGGAGCAACAGGCAGAGCAGGCAGAGGGAGAAGCAGGGTGCCTGCTGAGCAGGGAGCCTGATATGGAACTTGGTCCCAGGACCCTGAGATCATGACCTAAGCCGAAGGCAGATACTTAGCTGACTAAACCACCCAGGTGTCCTGAGGCAGACAGTTTGACAAGGAATGAAGTGTGACTGTGATAGGCAGCTGATTCTTGCTAACCTATAGACAGAGCAGAGAAAAGGAGAGTTTAGGGAGAAGGCCCTTTGAGGGCTGTCAACATTTTATTAGAATTCTACAGACACACATCTGTAATATCTATGGGACAGCAAAACCACAGCCATGATCTTGTTGTACTCTATTATATTAAAACCTACTGGTCTCGCACTCTGATTAGTTTTTACACATGTGTGATCTTGTTATGCTATGCCTCGATCATTGGAAAAATATTAATTCACCATTATGCAAATATTCCAAACATTGACATAGTTCATCATATAATAATGAAAGAGGATACTTGTTAATACCACCAGCCATCTCACCAGAAAACCCTTGAGAAATATCAGGAAGCTGATAAACTCGCAGTGATGGACACAATCTTTCTAAAATTCTAATATTTTATTTAAAGCCAAAAGGTATTCCTGGCAACAAATACTGTTGATTCTTTTCTCTGAAATGACAGCCTCACTTCACTAATTTTTCAGACAATGTCAATACCTGTCTGAAAAACCATAGTTTATGTCAGTCTTTTATTTAGTAAAAATAGAGTTCCGTGAAAAAAAAAAAAAAAAAAAACCTTCAGTTGGTACTAAAACAATAACAAAAATGCTTCGTTTCTTAGATACCCATCCTGTGTCATCAGTACTCTATGTGTAATGGCATTTCCATGGACTAATTCCTACAGGGTATTAAAAAGACACATATAAGAAGGTCAGTAGTTAGATTAATAATTCTTCTTGCTTCATCAAAAAATTCTTAATTAAAACCTGCCTTCCGACCCCCCACCCCCGCAAGTGAGAATACCACATAAGAGATTCTTAACTGTAAGGTTGTGGAGGGGAGGAGATGGGGGGATGGGGTAACTGGGTAATGGGCATCATGGAGGGCACGCGATGAAATGAGCACTGAGTGTTATATAACACTGATGAATCACTGAACTCTACCTCTGAAACTAATAATACATTGTATGTTAACTAAATTAAATATAAACAAAATATTTTTTTAAGAAAAGAATACCACAACCATCAGCATGGATTGGTACCATGCTAAAGGGCCCATAGCTTTACACAATTTTGTTTCATCATCTCTGGAAATACCAACACAGAGAAAAAAAGCAAGAACACCACAGAATTACCATAAAAATAGTTTTCACCTCTCAGACTCCCTAAAAGTGTCTCCAAGACCCCCAGATGTGTGCCAATCACACTTGGGGAACACTGAAGGTATAGGTAAACTGACAAAGGATATACATGCCACTAGACATTATTTTATGAATTTCAATACCAACAGTGGATTAAGCACAATCATTTTTTTAAGATTTTATTTATTTATTCAATAGACAGAGACAGACAGAGATCACAAGTAGGCAGAGAGGCAGGCAGAGAGAGAGAGGAGGAAGCAGGCTCCCCGCTGAGCAGAGAGCTTGATGTGGGGCTCGATCCCAGGACCCTGAGATCATGACCTGAGCTGAAGGCAGAGGCTTTAACCCACTGTCACCCAGGCGCCCCAATCATTTATTTTTAATGATCTACATTTCAGAATGCATTTCTGTATTTACTCAGATATTATTAAGCTCATTTGTTACCAAAAGATTTAGCAGATCTGGGTATATGTTACAGGCAAAGAGTAACTAATTTATGCAGTGTAAATGATTCCTAGGGAATTGCTTGCTGTTATTCTAAGTGTAACCTGGAATTGTTTCTATTCCTGAATTAACATACTGTCTGTGGTTTATGACTTAACAATAAGATACCAGCCTCCAGTAAAACCCTGGGGTTGCCTTTGATTGAATAGTTTTTGCGTACTGGAAAGGACTGGAGGCAATGAGCACAAGTACAATCCATATCCTAGTTTCTAAATACCATTCCCCACTCAGGGGCTCATTGGAGAAATTGCTGGTTCCAGGTCAGGGTAAAGAAAGCACAAGTTTTGCCAAGGATGTAAAGACTAATGGGGATATGTCAAAGAACACAGTAGCATCCTGCTTGAAGCAGCACCAACTAGACAAATTGGAGATAAATGGAGAATTAAAAATAATAATGAAGGGTACCTGAATGGCTTGGTTGTTTAAGTGTCTGCCTTCAGCTCGGGTCATGATCCCAGGGTCCTGGGATTGAGCCCCATGTGGAGTGTCCCTGCTCAGCAGCGAGTCTACCTCTGATTCCCAGCCCCACCCTCACCCCCAAAGGTGCTCTCTTTTTCTCTCTCTCTCTGTAAAATAAGTAAAATTCTTTAAAAAAGCAAAAACAAACCAAACAAATAAATAAATAGAAGAAGAAAGCTGAACAATTTCTAATTAGGTTGGATTCACTTTCTCCTGAAAGAGTGCCTTACTGGCAGTGCTCACTCAGTCTTTGAACAAATGACAAGTGAGCACACATAGTAACAAAAACAGACAAACCCATAAGCAAGTGAAATAAAATAAGAGGGGTATGCACGATGGTACAACTGTGATCTGGTTCTTGAAGGGTGTATAGGAGCTTGTCAGGTCAAGAAGTGTTGGGTTGGAGTTGGAGAGGACATTCAAGGCAGCAGGCATATACAACTAGAGGGAAAGGAAGGGTTTGTTTCATTCATTTGATGGGGGTGTTGGTGGAAAGTGAGTCAGAATCATCATCTGCATTTTAAATACAGTTGTGTTATCAGAACTTGCAAGATATCCTACCGCAAGATAAAGATGGAAGTAAAACAGAAGATACCAGCTATTGTCACATTTCCTTTGGAAACTGAAATCACACTCTGTTGAGAATATATGACTAAGACAAGTCTTGGAAATTCTTAAAACCTGTTGAAAGACTTCACAGAAGTTCAATCTCCTCTCTGTCTACAGAGGACATTTTATTCCTTTAATGGCAGTCTTGTACTATAAACCGATGGCCCTCTCTTTAGTCCCCATCCATACATTCTTAGAACAGGATACAAGACAATACAGAATCCTAATTGTTTACAGATCTTTCTTATCCACATTTTTTTATACAGAATCACTGTCTGTCAAGAGTTTTCACATGATATATAAATTCTTTGGCATCCTAAATAATAGATGAGCTTCTTAAGCCCCCTGGTGGCAAAAAGCAGTAACAATCTTTGAGGGGAAAAAAACCATCAAAGCATAGTTAAGACGTCCCATCCCTTACATTTCAAAACCCAAACAGGTTCACGTTTGTTGATCATGGCCCAACAACAGGTCACATGGAATCCCAATACCAATCCCTAAGTTCCCTGGGTGGATAATGAGATGAGGATGGGCGTTGTCACCTATCTGAACCGAAAGACTGTGCAGTGTTCTCGCTGAGACTTCCCGAAAATCCACTGACAAGGAATAATTTTCAAAAATCTATCCTTCCCTTTCTCATCCTCCTCATACTTCCTTTCTTGGGAGTGGCCGAAAGTCTCATTGCATGGATAGGGTCAAAAGAGTGAATGACTCTAGTGTGTACCTGAATCATGGAGTATTCTCGTTCTCTTTATTCTTTCATGTGCTGCCTTTGTCCACAAGTCAGATTGGATCTTAGGCCACCAAAGGACCCTACTGACTCAATCTATGATGCCAACCATATCTGTCTGCCTTGTATTCATCATAGAGTAATACCTAGGATAAATCCCCATGCCTCCAAAGAGCCCTTCAAATGCCTACCAAGAGCCTTTGAAATGCCGGGTACCTTTGAAAAGTCAACATCTTCCATCGACTTCTGGGTGGGATCACTGTCAGAGATTAGCTTATCCAATTTAATTTGCAAAGTTTGAAATTAATGTGGTCTCCAAGTTGTGTCAGGAGAGAAGGTCAGAAAAGTTTTGCAGAGAGAAATGAAGCCCATAAAGTAGGAGCTATAGGTTAGGCTCCCCAGGAATCAGGCTTTAAGACAGACATTAGCCTGAAAACAGTTTAGTAGGGAGTGCCTTAAGGATCAGTACCTGTAGCAGGAAGGTTTGCAGGGAGAGACCCCACAGGGTAACCTGAGGCTGGGATTATCTAGATCCATGTGATTCTTCCCTGAGGGCAGGGGATGCTATTGTGAATCAGTCATTGACCACAGGCTACCCCAGGGAGAGGCAAGAGGAATTCCCAAAAAGAACTGAGAATTTAGGACTATCAACTGGCAACTCCTTATAGCCAGGGAAAATGGAAGAATAAGTTCTTCATCTTTAAAAGGGCTGTGTGGGCAGTGTATGACAGCATCTCCTACAGTAGACAAAGCCGAGTGGTGTAGTCTCCCTATCCACAAACACAGTCCCCCCAAGCCTGATGACAGAACAGCGGGAGAAAGACCAAAGGGTAGTAACACGTCTTTGAGTTCCCACAAAGTCAACACTCTGCCTTGCTTATTTGTACATCCATCCCTACTGTGCTCGATGCATGGAGGAATTAGTGGAGTCAGGCCTGGCTTCAAATCCTAACCCCAACCTTTAGGCCAATTTATTGAATTCTAACATCATTTCCTCTGAGATATATATTTTGAGACATATCCTTCATGCCTATTTCCACTTAAACCCCTGGCTACAACGGTTAATACTAATTAGACATGAAATATTTTATTTTTTCTCTTTGGTTTTATATTTGTGCCCATTTTCATCTCAGTTTGCTTTGTGTATCTATTAGGCTGAACCACAATAAGTTGCCATTTGACTCATTTTCATTGAAAATTTCAAGGCAAAAACTTCCATTTCATATGGTTCAACCAAATACAGGTCTCACTCATGAAGCTATACCTTTCCTGAGGGAAAAGCCTGTCTTATATTTGAGCATATGTTTTATTTATCTGTTTATTTTTGATCATATGTTTTATTTATAGTGCTTTACTGCATACTCCCTCTCACAGAGGCCATCCCATGCAGAGTACCTCTGTGAAACGGGGCCTTTTCAATATTGCAGATGAAAATACCAGAGCTCGGAGAGAATAAATCCCTTGCCCAAGGTCACACAATCATGTACTAGAACTGGGGGACCTTAGCTTACATTTCCAGACACCAAGTAAAATATTTGCTCCTCAAGAGGATATGGTCTTTTTTTTTTTTTTTTTTTGCAGTGGCTTAGAAAGTGCTAACAAAGACATTACCTTATTGACTTGAATACTGATCTGATAAGATTCCCAGAGCCGGTGCTATTATACAGATTTGTATCTGTATAATAAGTGGAGACTGTAGCTCTTTAATTTAGCCATTATTGCCTCTTATCTTATATGCAGACTTTTATGCCAACTCTTGGGGAGCAAAAGAGGAGTGTGTCCTAATCCCTTCAACCAAGAAACTCACAGTCGAGTGCAGGAGATGAACACCTCATCAAGGAACTATTACACTATAATGCATGCTAAATAAATGCTAATATAGTGTGGCAAATGCTAAAGTTGAAGTGTATGTAGAATGCTGTGTAAAAGACAAGAAGACATATTAATTTTCCTGGAGAGAACTGGGAAAGTCTGCAAGAGCGGGTGATGTTTGCACTGTGCTTTGCAAAGTTTTCCCCAGGTGGGAAGTAATTGAAAACTCTTCAGGTATGAGAGCACATGGTATTCCAAGAAAAGGCTCAAATATTGAACAAATTGCCCAGAGTCTCATGGCTGGTAAGCAGTCAGACTGGCTCTGGAGACTAGTCTTTGGTTTCCTAGTTAATGCTCTCTCTTTGCAGTGTTTTATATATCAGATGTAACATTTAATAAATGGGATATATTATGAAACAACCCTTTCTTCGTTCTCCCCTAACACATAATTTTTTCCTTCTTCTTTTTTTTTTTTTTTTTTTTTTCAGTATTCCAAGATGTGCATGTAATGATACTTGTTGGGTTTGGCTTCCTCATGACCTTCCTGAAAAAATATGGCTTTAGTAGTGTGGGCATCAATCTACTCATTGCTGCTTTGGGCCTCCAATGGGGCACTTTCATTCAGGGGATCGTGCACAACAAAGGACAGACAATTTACATCGGAATCAAAAAGTGAGCATCCCTTATTTTTCAAAATTATGTTTTCAGGGCAGTTGTTTCTCTTCATGGTCTCTTGTCAGTCAGCCTCCGAACTAGCTGGCACACTGTCTCCCTGAGACAATGAAATATTGTTGGGACCCCAGGATGTGAATCGACATTGTGCTCTACTGAGCTGGGTCATTCATTCATGCCTGTGTATTCTCTGGTTTGACTTTAAGGACGTGAGAAATCCTATCTCATTGAAGGTTATTCCTTCCATCTCAGCCACAGGGAGCAAAAAGCCTCCATTAGCTCTTTTTCTACATGTCTGTATTTACATTTTGAAATGTAAACACTGTAGAAAATAATTCATTTATCAGATCAACAAAAATAAAGAAAAACCTAAATGAGATCAAGAACAGATGGGTCAAAATAAAGGAAATGCTGGAGTGACCAGAATGTATAGCAGATGGAAAAGAGGAGGAGTAAGGAAATGAGGGTGTGTAAAAGGGTACCTGGGATGAACACCTGATGTGGTGGTGAGGGGGGAGGCCCTTGCATGCTGGATAAGGGAATGCTGTGATTCATCCTAGCTCACAGTTCTGTGTTGGGTGTGCATTATTATTGGATGTATTCTTTCTTTTTTCCCTCAGCATAATAAATGCAGACTTCAGTACAGCCACAGTCTTAATTTCTTTTGGAGCTGTCCTGGGAAAAATAAGCCCAGTCCAAATGCTGATCATGACAATACTAGAAATCGCTGTCTTTGCTGGCAATGAATATGTGGTTGGTGAGATATTTCAGGTAAGGATTAGATGATTTATACTTAGTAGCTTTGACATCAGATCTGATTACACCCAAAGGATGCCCATTCTACATAGGGACAAAGATTGGTGAGCATGATAGAATAGCAAGTGTAATTATACCCATCACTTATTTGAGTGCCTTTGGTAAACCAGGAATCTTATCAACATTACCTTATTTCATTGTCACCGCCAGACTATAACCTGGGTATTATGCTGTTACTGTTGTACAAATTACAACTAATGATCACAGATGCTGAATGACTGGCCCAAATCTGGATTCAAACCTAGATTTTACTAACTCCATAACTCTTTTTATTAAGTTATATTTACTATCAATGATCAATTCCTATTATATTTCAACTACTAGATGACTAGCCCTTTTTTTTAAAGATTTTATTTATTTATTTGAGTGAGAGACAGAGAATACAAGAGAAACAGTGCAAGACAGAGAGCACTAGCAGGAGAGGGGGAGGAGCAAGTATCCAGAAGCAAGACTCAAAGGACTGAATCCCACAACCGTGGGGATCATGACCTGAGTTGAAGGCAGAGACTTAACAGACTGAGCCACTCAGGCACTCCTGACTAGCCTGGTCTAAGGCTTTTGTTAAAGGCTAGATCAAATTTCTTCTCCTCCATGAAAAATCACATTGATTCCCCTGAGGATATTTCTGAGCATTCCCCAGTATTTTGCTTGTTTCTATTGAACATTTAATTCCACAGCCAATATTTTTTAAGTTTTTATTGAAATTCCAGTTAGTTAACATACAGTGTAATATTAGTTTCAGGTATGCAATACAGTGATTCAACACTTCCATATGTCACCTGATGCTCATCACAGCAAGTGCCCTCCTTCATCCCCATCACCTAGTTCACCCATTCCCCCACCTACCTCCCACTCTGTCCACAGAAAATGTTTCTGAAAACTTTCCAGGTGACTCTGACAAACAAAAGAGTTAATGTCCCTGTCTTTATAGAGTTTACAGTCCAGTGAGAGAAGACAGACCTCGAATAGAGAATCATTTATCACTTACCCACCCATAGGCAGGTGCACGCACACACACACACACACACACAAATATTATAAATTGAAATACATGCTATGAAAAATATGTAGAGGGGGCCATGGGAGAGCATAACTGGAAGACCTAACTTAGATTATGGAATCAAAGAAGACCTCTCTGAGGAAGTGGTAGTTAAGCTGGACCTGAAAGGTACATAGGAGTTTATCAAGTATGAAAATTTAAATAAATTAATAAATTTGCATCATTTTCCTACCTTAATAAGTACAAGAGGAGCTATGAATCAAGTTTGGCACTCCAACCTTTCCCTCCTGGGGTAGGAGAATGTAGAAGACTGGATCAAATTCATACAGTGTCCTAAAGAGGGATCTAAATATATTGCTTCAAATGAATCTTGGACATCAGTTGGTGTTCACATCATCATATAGCACAGTGAAAAAAATATGGGAAAGACTCAGGCTTTTTAAAGCTTCAAGTCTTTGAATTGTAATTCAATGAGCCTTAACTATAATGTCAAATGAATGCAAAGAGCATCTTTCTTTTAAAATAAGGGCAGTGCCTATCATTTCACTTTGAATTTCCCTAACCTAGAGAAGTTAACTAAAATGAATTGAATGTCCACAAAGACCTAGCACTTTACAAACATGGCCTCACTAATTCTCACCACAACTATATTAGCTGGTAATATTTCCCACTTTACAGAAGCAGAGAATCAGAGAAATATAGTAATTTGTCTGAAGTCACATTGCAAGGAAGCACCTGACCTAGCATTGGAAGTCAGTTCTGCATGTCTCCAAATCCTATATTTTTTTTAATGTAACTATCCTATTTTATCCTCTTTTATTCTTTCTCTAACATACCCTTTCATTCTTTCTTTCTTTTCATTTCTTCTAATGTTTAACCAATGAGCAGTCCATTCATTGACTTTCCTCCTGTAGTTAGATTCAGTTTCACCTCTAAAAACATGAATGTTTTGCCCCTCAGGCTTCTGACATTGGAGCATCAATGACAATCCATGCTTTTGGGGCCTACTTTGGCTTGGCGGTAGCAGGTGTCCTATATCAGTCAGGCTTGAGAAGGCAGAATGAGAAGGAGGAGTCTGTGTACCACTCAGATTTGTTTGCAATGATTGGTGAGTAGAGATGAACTTGCCTGATTGGTGAGTAGAGTTGACCCAAGGCAAACAACCTCCTCTGGACTGTCTTCCATATCCAGCACTAATATCCCTTTCTGTGCTTTACCACAGGGACTCTTTTCCTTTGGATCTTTTGGCCCAGTTTTAATTCAGCCATCGCTGAAACTACAGAGCAACAGTACGTGGCCATCGTAAATACCTACTTCTCTCTTGTTGCCTGCGTGCTCACAGCCTATGCGTTTTCCAGCCTCGTGGGGAAGAGAGGCAGGCTCGATATGGTCAGTACATATTAACCACCATGGAAGCTTTGCTAAGTGACACTGATGGTTGCCCAGATGAGTAGGTCATTTCTGCCTCACTGCTGAGCTGCCGCAACAAATCACAACACTGCAAACCTTGCAGAATATTTTAAAAATAATGTTCATTTGTTTCTTCATCAAATTTATATTGTGGCAAATCAAAAAGGTGTTCTCAAGGAATATACAGCCCATTAGGGAACATAGTTATGCAAAAATCAAAGATTTGAGGCATATTTCCTTAATGATGGAGTATCTCCCAGGTCTTAGGAAATCTTCCTTAGAAACAGGACTTGCCAAGAATAGAAAAAGAGAATAGGGGGAGGGTGCGAGTTAAGTCTATTTTCCTAACTGTAAATATTCCTCTCAAATAAATAACAACTAAAGGCAATGTGGGGTCTGGAATAAGACTCTGGAGGAAAAAAAGGATGTTAGTGAGAACACTGGGTAAAATTCAGGTAAAACCCTTGATAGTATTCTATCAATGCTACTTTCCTGGTTCTATGATAACATAAAAGGTTAACCTTGGGGGAAGCTGGGTGAGGGATATATGGAAACTCTGCAGTATTTCTACAGCTATTACATGTCTAAAATGATATCAGAACGCATTTTTTTTTTAAACACTCCCAAGTTGGTCTTCTGAGTTTCTTTCCTATGAACTAGAGAAATGTCTGTGAAGGAATAATCCACACATCAGCTGCTCTTCTTTTCCAGCCTGAGGGAAGAAAAGGATATTGTAATTTCTTCAAGCAGAGCTAAAGACATAGATTTCAATGCTGTACAATTTGTTTAATGAAAGAAAATTGAAAACAAGAAAAGAAATTAAAAAATACATGTACAGCTCAGTCCTCTCTTAAAAGTAGTGATGAGACTTCCTCCTTAGGAAGAACAGCCAGAACATGATTCTTCTGAGGAATTCTGGTAAATGGCAACTGGTTACTCTTTCCACCATCTTCAAATATTCTCAATATAGTGACACTTGTGAAAGCTGTTGTCTTCTATGTATAATGTGCACATTTTGATCTCTACTTTCCCTCTTTGAATATTGGAATGTCAAAAACTCCACCAAACACGCACCAGCCACTTTTGGTTCATAATAACCACAAATGCATTTCCATACTGAATAAACAGTCATACCACTACTAGAATAACTACATTATATGCACCAGGCCTTCCATCACAATTTCTTTGGTTTTTCTCTCATCCCTCCCCAAGCTGGTCTCACTAACCTGATTACTCAGTCCCTACTGAGGAACCCCAGCAAGAAAGATATCAAATGTCAACCGTTTGGAAGAAAGGCTTTCTATCATTACAATGAAACTTCTTTTTAAAAAAGAATCAGTAGCCCTTTGAACTGAGGAATAGACCATGGAGTCCATGGAACCCTAGATAGATTGCTTCATCCCTTCTGAAGCCCACCTCGTTCAGCTCACTTCATTCAAGTTTCTGTGCTGCCCACAGGTTCACATTCAGAATGCAACCCTGGCTGGAGGAGTTGCTGTGGGCACATGTGCAGACATGAAGATTCACCCATATGGTGCTATGATCATTGGGAGCATTGCAGGAATTGTCTCCGTGCTTGGTTTTAAGTTTCTGACTGTAAGTATGACAGGTGCTCTCAGTCAAACTCTGAATCTGTACCATCATCTTCTGACATCCTACCAGCAGGGAAAAGTTATGAAAATTCCTTTTATCATCACCCCTCCTTCTTCGAGGGTCATTTCCCTTCTTATCAGAAATATGGCTCACAGTTCTGGATCCAGTGGTTTCTACTCTTCCTTGTGGATCCAGTGGTTTCTACTCTTCTACTCTTCTACTTCTTTTGTGTACCAGGAAAGAATCTGATATTATTAAATTATTAAAAGAATTAGTGTGAAATGAATGTTAAGTACGGGTGTTAGTTTCCTCAGGGCAGTTTCATTAAAGTTTTTGTTGTTGATGATGTTTGCTTGTTTTGCATAATAAAGCACTCTGTGTCCTTTTAAGGGGATTTAGAATATCATCAGTATGTCAGAAGGAGGAGGACTTGAAATCACTCACCTTCAAATCCATCTACTAAAAACTGATATGAGTAGTTTTGCCACCAACATATTCGGATTCTTTGACTTAAGTGGGCTATAGATATGGATGGCAAAAGGGGTGACAGATAAAATTTTCCTGCATAGTCATTGACTTCAGTATGTCTAACAAAATAATAAACTTCCTCTTTTTACAATTTTAGCCATGTCTTACTGATAAACTGAGGATCCATGACACATGCGGTGTTCATAACCTGCATGGCTTACCCGGTGTGATAGGAGGCCTCGCAAGCATTGTGGCGATAGTCCTGGGAGCATCTAAGGCGTGAGTTAAAGAATGGGTTTTTCTGCACCCTGAGGTCCAATGATGTTTTATCTCACTCTTGGAGGAAATCTGGTAATAAGAAAGGTTTTTCTTTACAATCCAGGCCACGGTATCATCCTTACTGAAGCCAAAGAGACATGACTGGGCAAATAAAATTGGGTGGAAAGATATGTCTTAACTAAGGTTATTATTAATGGTGGTTGGTTTTTGTTTGTTTTGATTAACAGTGTTAATTTAAATATTTCTACCACAGGCAAGTGTATCCTCACAGGGTAATATGATAATCACAGTCAGATTATAGTAGGTTTACTCTTTTAGTTAGTCTCAACAAAATGGAGGAGGGGACATCTGTGATGAGCTGAGCAGTCCTTTCCTACAATCAACACATCGAACAATGAGTAAGCATAACATGAAGAGCGCTGGATCTGGGGAATCAGGAAACCCGGCATATGGCTTCGCCTTTGCTATTGACTAATAGTGGGGCCTTTAACAACTCACTTAGCTTCTGTGGTTCTGTTTCCTCTTCTGTAAAATGAGGGAATTATAGTATTTATTCTCTAAAATTCTTTCAAGCTCTAACAGACCTAGATTCTTCACAGAGAGGTCATAAATATTTAAAGGGCCAGAGGAAGAATAGTTATCAGCCAAATCCAGGACAACAAAAGTGATGTGAAAGGCCATCAGTTGTCACTTCTAGGTAACAAGATTGGAAAAATTTGATATGAACGTCATTTGTGTAAAACAGCTGGGAAGACCACAGAGTCCAGATCACTCAGGGATTAAGGAAGCAGGAATTAAAACTCTCAATTTTTAAATTTAAATTTTTAAATTTTAAATTTTTAAAGCCCATTGAAAGCATGAAGAAAAGGTGAATATGTTTGAAAATGATTCAAAGTGACTACTGGCTAGAGTTGAGTAATTTGAAGAGAAAAATTTCTTTCGTTTTCACAGATTAAAATTCAACTCTGTTAAGACCAGTCATGATAAATATTTGAAAAAAATTGTTTAATCATATTTTCTACTCAATAGAAAGTTGGCTTCCACTTTCATATCTAGAGCTGACCTATTTCTTCTGTTTGTTTGTTTTTTTTTTTGTCCCCTTTGCAAAATTGGAGAACAACCCCAGAAATAGCCACATTTTCTTGCAGCTCTCTCTGGGACCTAACATGCTGCTGAAACAAACACTAACATATTTGAATGCAAATCAAACATGACAAAAACATGTGTCCATGAGCTCAACTCCTAAGTGCTATGGTGTGTACACACTTTTAAGATGTGCCTCATGATGAGAAATAAAGGAATTACTGAGCATCATGCCTGCACCCATTGTATGGATGCAATAAAACAAGACTATCTGGCTCTCACAGGCTGGGTCTCACTGGGTGGACTTGGGGTAGGGTCTGTAGTTGAGAGTCAAGTTCTTGGGTGTTCAGGTTGATCAGCCACTTCTCAGTATGCTCAGGGGGACTTGGAGGTGGGGTGGATGACAAGCCTTGGAAGGCCTAGTCACATGAGTGAAATTCACACACATCTCACACACCACATAAAATATTTTGGCCAAGAGCCAAGACTATTTACTCAGATATTTCTATTCAGAATAGTAAAACACAAATCGGGTTTCTCGGTAAGCATAGAACAAGGAGAAAGAAGTAAGGATTCTTACAAGTTATCTATGTACATTATGGCAGCCTAATTCTAATAATGCAGTTAATTTTGTTAAACCTCATGTTTCCCAAGCCCATTTTATCAAGGAACATTTTTTATCAAAAATATCTTTTAATACCTTGGAAAAAATGTTGGCAAATTCTGGTAAAATTAATAGGCCATTTACAAAAGAAAAGTATCAAATGAGTAAATATATATTAAATGTGAGATCTCACTAGTGATCAAAGAAATGCAAATTAACACAAGTTACCAATTTTTCGTTTATCAAGTTGATAAAGATTAAATGAATCATGATACTGAATGGTAGCTAATGTAGAGAAATGGTGATATGAATTATACGTTTTTCTATTTCAAATGACCCTTAAGAAGTATATAAACTTTTACTAAAAATTTCATTTCTAGATACATTTTATTTTAAGGAAATTATTGGGCAAATTCATAAGCATGTTCGTAAGAGGATGTGTTCTCACAGCATTTTAAAAAATATGACACATTGGAAGCAACCTAAGTATCCAAACTCAGGACTATAATTACAGTATATTTTTAGAGTGTAGTACTTGGGAGTAATTAAAATTATGATCCAGGTCTACATTTACTGGCATCAAAGGACACTTAAAGATTAATGGGAAAATTAGTATTATAACATGATTGCCTTTTTATAAAAATATATGTCTCTATTTTACATTTTTATATTGATTAAGATTTGAGGGAAATTAAACTTTTTCCCTTCCTTTTCTGGATTAATGTTTTCTCATATTCTTAAAATGAGTATGTGTTGCCAGTACAATAGCACAATTTTCACATAGTAGAAAAAATGTAAACCCTTCAAATAAAAAGAGAAAATGGAAATCTGAGTTTAGTACATTCTTTCCCTTAGATGATGAAAATGAAACACCAAAGATGAATTACCAAGACACTCTCATTTTCCAATTGTTTGCTTTCCCATAATCACACATTTAGTCCTTCAACAACTATTTACGAATTTTCTGCTAAGGGTAAGGTGCTGTGCTAAGGAGGTATTCACATCCCTAGTCCTTTTTTGTCACTCCTATACCAGCCTTTTGCATTTCAATAGTTTTTTATGACATCCTTCCAATCTCAAAAATTATGAGGTTTTTTTTTTTTTACTAATTTTGTTTTAAGGTAACTGTGTCTAAAATGACTTACAGAGATTTTTAAAATATATTCAATGAGTTGTCTTTACATTATATGCTAAAATTAGCTTTCCTGATCTTAGTGATTTTTAATTAAACTGCAATTTTCCTTTTGCGATGGGATGAGGAAAGATGGCCACTCATGTTTATTTTGTACATTACTCCATCCTCAATGTCTAGAAGGGAAGGTGGCACAGAGTGAGGACTCAATAAATATTTGTTGAATGAATCAGATCGAAGATCAGAACCTGGTGCCATATTTTTAGAAAATACTAAACTCTTTCTAAGGAAGATCTTTTCATCATTCCTGAAGAAAAATGTGATTTTTGCTTGAGTGCTTATGAAGACTTTTTAACATTGCTCAAGAATTTAATAAAATAAAATACAAAATAAAATAAAATATACATACAATATAAAATATACATACAAAATAAAAATACAAAATAAAACAAAAATTGTAAATTAATGTTTCTTTGCTGGTGTAATGCTGCGCTCTGGCCTGAAGATGGCAAGCGTCCACTCCCTCAGGAAATGAGATTTGTTTGCTGGTATTCTGGAAAAACTGGTCTTTTCTTTTGGCTTCCTAGGTCTACCAGGTCTACCATGTTGATGCAGGCAGCTGCTCTAGGTTCTTCCCTTGGAACAGCAATTGTTGGAGGGCTGATCACAGGTCAGGATGAAAAGTAAACACTTCCATGTGCTGCATGTGGTCAGCATAATAGATGATAAACATATCGACTCGTAAATTTGAAAATATTCTAAAGTTTTGACAGTAAAGTAATCATGTAAGCTCAAGGGGATGATTTTATAGCAACATATATATGTATATATATATATTTTTTTTAATATTTTATTTTTAAGTAATCTCTACACCCAATGTGGGGCTTGAACGCAGACACCAAGATCAAAAGTTGCCCCGTAACTTACAGTAGTATTTTTATTACTATGCAAGCAAGTTTTCCTCTTCAGCATCATAACGTGCCTTATTTTCTCCCTAATCTCATAGGTTTAATTCTCAGGTTCATTGTCTGTGTCCAGCCATCTATGGAATTCTTCTTTGATGATTCTGCATATTGGGAGGTACTGTACAGCGTTCTAGCTAAGAATGTAAATGATGACTATACCAGTGAAAGTTCTGCTCACCTGAAGCCTAAATGTCTGTTTGGCATCCTTGTGATAAAACTGGATAAACAGCCTAATTATAGAAAGAGATTGAGACAATGTATCCATATAGATAAAATCAAAAGTTGTCTTTTCCAAAGCAGAAAGGACATCAAGACAGAATTTAGTAGGCAAATGTCCTTTGCTCCACTGAGAGCAATAAAAAGCTTCTCATAAATATAATAGGAATACCAGGAAGTAACATGAGATTTTATACCATATACATGAGTAGACAAAAACAGGTAGAATATGGAAGGTTGAAGAATCTCAGTGAAGAATCTATCAAGAGGTTTTATGAAAAACATTATCTTCGTTCTATCCTCCAGTTTCTACCTCTTTACTCCATTGACATTTTCCCCAAATTATTTCCTGCAAAGCTTAAGAGTGATAGGTATTTCGATGTGTTCAGCGGGATTGTCAGGAAAAACAGATTTGGTAAAGAGAATGTAGTTGGGGTGAGTGAGATAAATATCCTTTGTTCTTTTATTTTTCCCCAAGACAAACACTTGTTACTCCTGGTTCTTTCTATTGAAATACCTTTTGAGTTTCAGTGCTAACCTCTGTCAGGTCCAAGTGAAAGAAACTATAAAATGCTCTAATCTTGTTTTCTTTACAGGTCCCCAAGAGGGAAGAAGGTGACAATGAATGAACATGATGGCCACAACCAGCCAGAACCTAAAGACTAAATATCATTCCTCTGCCTCAGTTTCCTTTCCCAATTTCTAGAATCATATTTAAAAATTTTTTAAAAGTCAGCATCCAACAAGAACAACAAAATGAATAGATCTTGAGCCCCAGATGTCCAGTGTATAAAATCTTAACACGATCTGGTGTTGTTTCTTGACACTCAGTGATTGCTTGGTCGAAGGAATATGGCTTGTAAAACAGATGGTCAAATAGATTCTCTTTAGGATTCCCTGATCATTCTTGCCAGTGAGTGGGTACAGGGTGAACACTCCATGAATATTCCTGTATTTTTTTTCCCCATAGAGGTAAATTTACAAAGAAATCAACACATCTGATTATGTCACTTTCTTATTATACATACTATGTCTTCAATCCCAAAGGTATAAAATTAAAGCCAATAAAACAATATGTAAGAAATCTATATAGGAAGTATAAAGGAAATTATTGTGTACAGCAAGAACATGATTGTTTCTGGTGGTGCTTTCTTGATTTAGAAATAGTCTAGTTAGTAATGTTATGTCTTTACTTGAATATTCTTATGCTTAATTCTTTTTACATGTTTATTATTTGAGACAAGAGTTCAAATGCTATGTGACCAAAGTCTATTTTGTATAAAATTCCAATAAATTAATTGTTATTTTATTATAAATTAAAGCATTTGTCTTTGGCTCCCCTTTCTTTGACAGCTGGAATTCATTTTATTAACAAGCATACACACACACACGCACATACACTCCTCATATATAGTCCATATTCAATCCAAATAAATTGTTACTATGTATTAACTACAAAATAATCAAGTTAATGTCTCATATAATAGGGTGAGTTTTAAGGAACTAAGTTTTAGAAAAGATAATTGACATAGTCATATAAAACTATCGGAAGAATAAACATTGTTAAAATGTCTATACTGCCTAGAGCAATCTATACTTTTAATGCCATTCCAATCAAAATTCCACCGGTATTCTCCAAAGAGCTGGAGCAAATAATCCAAAAATTTGTATGGAATCAGAAGAGACCCTGAATTGCTAAGGAAATGTTGAAAAACAAAAATAAAACTGGGGGCATCACGTTACCTGATTTCAAGCTTTACTACAAAGCTGTGATCAACAAAACAGCATGGTACTGGCATAAAAACAGACACATAGACCAGTGGAACAGAGTAGAGAGCCCAGATATGGACCCTCAACTCTATGGTCAGTTAATCTTTGACAAAACAGGAAAAAATATACAGTGGAAAAAAGACAGTCTCTTCAATAAATGGTGCTGGGAAAACTGGGCAACTATATGTAGAAGAATGAAACTCGACCATTCTCTTACACCATACACAAAGATAAACTCAAAATGGATAAAAGACCTCAACGTGAGACAGGAATCCATCAGAATCCTAGAGGAGAACATAGGCAGTAAGCTCTTCTATATCAGCCACAGCAACTTCTTTCAAGATATGTCTCCAAAGGCAAAGGAAACAAAAGTGAAAATAAACTTTTGGGACTTCATCAAAATCAAAAGCTTTTGCACAGCAAAGGAAACAGTCAAGAAAACAAAGAGGCAACCCACGGAATGGGAGAAGATATTTGCAAATGACAGTACAGACAAAAGATTGATATCCAGGATCTATAAAGAACTCCTGAAACTCAACACACACAAAACAGATAATCATATCAAAAAATGGGCAGAAGATATGAACAGACACTTCTCCAATGAAGACATACAAATGGCTATCAGACACATGAAAAAATGTTCATCATCACTAGCCATCAGGGAGATTCAAATTAAAACCACATTGAGATATCACCTTACACCAGTTAGAATGGCCAAAATTAGCAAGATAGGAAACAACATGTGTTGGAGGGGATGTGGAGAAAGGGGAACCCTCTTACACTGTTGGTGGGAATGCAAGTTGGTGCAGCCTCTTTGGAGAACAGTGTGGAGATTCCTCAAGAAATTAAAAATAGAACTTCCCTATGACCCTGCCATTGCACTACTGGGTATTTACCCCAAAGATACAGATGTAGTGAAAAGAAGGGCCATCTGTACCCCAATGTTCATAGCAGCAATGGCTATGGTCGCCAAACTGTGGAAAGAACCAAGATGCCCTTCAATGGACAAATAGATAAGGGAGATGTGGTCCATATACACTATGGAGTATTATGCCTCCATCAGAAAGGATGAATACCCAACTTTTGTAGCAACATGGATGGGACTGGAAGAGATTATGCTGAGTGAAATAAGTCAAGCAGAGAGAGTCAATTATCACATGGTTTCACTTATTTGTGGAGCATAACAAATAGCATGGAGGACAAGGGAATGGAGAGGAGAAGGGAGTTGAGGGAAATTGGAAGTGGAGGTGAACCATGAGAGACTATGGACTCTGAAAAACAATCTGAGGGTTTTGAAGGGGTGGGGGGTTGGGGGAACCACGTGGTGGGTATTAGAGAGGGCACGGATTGCATGGAGCACTGGGTGTGGTACAAAAACAATGAATACTGTTATGCTGAAAATAAATTAAAAAAAAATGATTAATAAAAAAAAACTATTTGTAGAGAAATATGGCTTTCTTTTTCTCTCTCTCTAGAATCTTTTAAGATTTTCCTTCAATTTCTGGAGTCCCAGAATCTTGTCAGAATGTGCCTTTGTATCTATGAAGAAATAAACCCTGGTATAATTAACAGAACATCAGTTACTAAATGCTAGATATTAAAAATTACAAGTAACAGTGAATTATTTAAGGTTTTATTTCTCTGGAGAAATCATATAATTTATTTATAGATCCTAAGTATCTCATTATACAAATAGGTGATGTATGTCAGAGTCTCTTTCACATGGGTTTTTAAAGTGTGCTTATATTATAAAATGCACTACCCCCAGTCTTGCTGATCATCACAAAGAATCATCTTCACTATCCATATGCCCAGAGGCCCCCTCATTCCCTGTTGATCATAAGGCAAAGCTCAGAGGGTCTTGGGTAAACGTGGGTTTGTATGTGTGTTTTTTTAAGTCTATAATTGTGATGTGCTTAGGAACAGGGTTGTGATGACCATTATCCCTTGGCTTATAGACACTCTCCTGCCTTCCTGCAATGTAGTTCTTATAAATGGTAGTCTTATTTTAAAATTCTGAGTTTATGGTCTTTTTTCCACAATAGAATACGTCTTTTTTTTTTTTAATCTATCTTGCCTAGAATCTGGTGAAGAATTTAATTTGAATATTTGAGTCTTCTGCTCAGATAAACTTCTTTCTACTCTTAGTGGCTCCCTCATCTCATCTGTTAATTTTTCCTTGTCCAGCACTCCTGTTATTTACATGGAAATTCTACTAGATCTCTTATCGAAATCTATGGCCTTGCCCATCTTTATTTCATTGGTTTTTAACATAGATTCTGTGCTCCTTCTCTTCATCTATTGATTTGTTTGCAAATCATTGTCCATCTTTATACACACAGCTAAATTTTGTGTGTGTGCATGTGCTATGCTTGAATCTCCTTAATTGAGCTTACACTTTTGTTTATTGGGAAATGGGATACATTTTTGTTCAAGATCAAGTTCAAAGTCTAACCTACCTCTGTCAATAGTTAAATAACAATTTTATACCTTAGCTGTTCCAAAAAAAAAATTCTGATATCAAATAATACTATTGATATCACTTGGCTGATTTTTAAGCTCTACTTGGATGATCAGTTTCAGGAAGTTTTTGTTTTTCCTTGTTCCTATCTAAATCTGAAAGACTGACCTATAATTTTTAAGGCAATTTCAGGCAGTGTGGTGAAAGCAGAGATATTTTCAGACTTTCAGCCCTTGCTTCCACAGTCTTCATTGCCTATTGTATAAGGTAGGAGAGCTCTGCTGATCTAGGGGAGGGCTTCTGCAATAGCTTTATGTTGTTAGAAGCCACTTATCTTGGATGTTTTTGAGTCTCTTCCTTCTGGGTTCTGGCACCCTTTCGGTTGGTTGTTGACTTAGTATGTCTTTTCCCTGGGGGTTATATTCCAGTTGCTGAGGTGCCTTGGGTGGCAGTAATCTGGATAATGAAGGCAGGCACAGCAATCTGGCAAAGTATGTCTGAGATTTGCCAGAGTGTGAAAATATAATTCCCCTAAAGAGAGCTCGAACAAAGCCTCTTTGTTCCTCCGTCTTTTCAGCAAGCCATACTTGGTGTTCTTCTACAGCCAGGACCAGAAAGAACTCAATGCGTCTGCTAACATGCCTGCAGCTCATGGGGGACAAGGGAGACCCACCTCACCTCAGGAATGCTCAGCTGAGAAGATAAATTACCATTCCCTGGGGATTCACAAACCTCTGCAAACCAATAGTTCTCAAACCTCTCCTCCTTGGGTCTCTGCCACCTGCCTCCAAATTCTCATCAAACACAGAGGAGGGAACTTCTCTATCAGCTTTTCTTTCCTTCTTTGAATCCACGGTCTTCCATCCTCCAGTTAAACAGCAGGACCAGTTACTGCTCAGCTCAGTACATGCCTTGTAGTTTGATTAGAAATACAGGATGAATGGTGCCTGTCTGGATCAGTGAGTATAACATGTGACACTTTACCTCAAGGTCATGAGTTCAAGATCCACATTAGATGTGAAGCTTACTTTAAAAAAAGGGGGGGGGGTGCTAGAATGGTAGCATACATAGAGTGTCATAGATAAGAAGAGAGGAGAACCTAAATAAAATTAAAGGAAAACTTGACAGAAAAAAAAATATATATATACAGTTAGGCAAAGAGTGATTTAAAACTCAACTATAGGGGTGCCTGGGTGGCTCAGTTGGTTAAGCATCTGGCTCTTGGTTTCAGCTCAGGTCATGATCTCAGGGTCATGCAATGGAGCCTCAAGTTGGGCTCCACACTCAGCATGAAGTCTACTTGAGTTTCTCTCCCTCTGACCCTCCCCCAGCTCTCTCTCTCAAATAAATCAATAAATCTTTAAATAATAATAAAAACAAAACAACCCTATTGAAAATAAAGCTAACATCCTTTCACCTAGAAACCAATTGCTCATGAAAAGAAAGATTAGATGACTCCTCCATCCACTTTCCCTTCTTCTTTTTGAAGATAGACGTTGTTGCTGTGCATGCATATTTATGTGGATGTGGATTGGTTGGATAGGTCAGCTAAGGAGAGTAGCAAGTGAGAGGAGTTAACAAAATTCATGAACATCAGATCTCTCTAATCTGTACTTCTGTCCTCTCTAGCTCTAGACCTATGTTCTGTCCATTTGGGGGGAACAAAATCCAGTCTTTTCTAACTAATGACCTTAGCTTTTATCCTGGCCTTATTTCAATTGGTATTCATCAAAAATCTCTCCAAAAAATATCTACCCCAATTTTATCCAACCTAAATGACAGCAGCTCCAACAAGCACATCTTGTCCTTGTCAATCAGACATAGACACTTCCTAGACCTCATCTGATAACAAGTATAGATATGCCAGGTCCACTTT